TTAGCGCGTATTTAAACCCATGCTCAGGCCGATAATAAGACAGGCAGAACAAAAAACATCACCTGATGTAATTTAGAGACAATAGCGAATAAAATGTCAATCTCGTAATTTTCTGGTCCATCTATCGAGAGTTATTCGCCGAGGAAATTTCGCCGAAAGTATATGGCACAGTAAACCTATTAGCAACGACATAGATTTTTGTATGTGAACGAATCAGTGGGAACTGAACCAGTTTTTAAGGCGATATGATACAAAAGGTCTATATCCTGGTATGAGATGATGTGGATGCGTGAAAACCTTCCTCTATTTGCGGCTTCTCTCGAGTGCATCATTTGAGTAAAGCACTGATGAACTCGTGATGATAATTGTGCACAGCATGTTCTTTAAAATTCGTTGAACATGGGTTGATTATCTACATTCCTTAAGCCTCGGCTTTTGGTGTTGTTGTTGCTGTTGTTGTTGTCTAACGAAGGCGTTTCGTTGGTCTCCCTGCAGAGACCGCGACGATGGGAAATATTGGTATTTACCAACTAGAGATCATTGCCAAAACAGGTTCCGATCGAAGTGTATCGTAATAACAAAAAAATTTACTGACAGAAACTAATGCTACCAGCAATGTAATGCAATATTTAATTGAGCTTCATAAGCACCCGTGTTACATCTGAATAATAAAGTTAGACTATTTAAAATGACTAAAATAGCACCAACACACTAGGATCAGATGATCAATTTCCCAAAGTTCAAATGATAAGGTTGCCAATACTTAATTCTTGTTCGGTACCTCAAAACTCCTGAAACCAAAATGAAGCTTAACTGAACTGGTTGAGAACAACATGGAAAAAGAAGAAAATGATTCGGTATGATCATAGCACACAACGAAGCGGAACTGAACCGAAAACCGTTGAAAGCACAATGTGGATTTTTACTCTTAATGCGCACCAGCAGCGATGGACATTTGTCCATCGTTGGGGAGAAATTAAACTACCTGGGACGAAAAAACAGCTTACTTCTAAGCCTATCATCGAACGGCAGATCACTGTCCACTGCATAGTATTAGAATTGTCACTCGCTATCAATGGTATATATACATAACCACTGTCAGCAACAGCTCTGGCTGTGTAGCTTAATTTGCCATTCTTCTGTGTCGTTTTGACGTTGTTTTCGCAGCACTTTCAAAGATCAGCACCAGATGACAAAGCTAGCCACATTAAGAGTA